TTCGACAACCCACACCACTGCAAGGCACTCTTTTTCTGAGGTTGAATAGTTCACCTCTGTTCCCCTCAAACCTCTCGAGGCATATGAAATCACCTTTTCTTCTCTACTGATGTTCTGGGTTAGAACTGCTCCCAGGCCAACTGAGCTAGCATCGGTCTGGACCTGGAAGGGTTGCGACAGATCAGGTTGAACTAGTACAGGGGCATGTTGCAGAGCATGTTTGAGACTCTCAAAGTTCAACTGGGTCTCTTTGGTCCATGTCCATTTCACCCCTTTCCTTTTAAGGTGGTTCAATTGGGCAGCCAGTTCAGCAAAGTGTGGGATAAACTTGTGGTACCACCCAACCAACCCCAATAACCTCTGAAGTTCCAACAAGTTTTGTGGGGTTGGGTACTCACTGATGGCGGTGATCTTGTCCAAGTCGACTTTTACTCCCTCCTCGGACACAACATGTTCCAAAAACTTGAGCTCTGCTTTCATGAAGTGGCATTTCTTTAGGTTTAGGGTAAGATTAGCTTCTTTCAGCTTCTGAAAGATAGTTTCAAGATCTTTTAAGTGTTGTTGTTGGCTTGGGGCGTAGACAATAATGTCATATATATAGACGAAACACACACTTCCTCTTAGCTTACCAAACACTTTCTCCATCAACCTCTGGAGCGTGGCCCTAGCATTTTTCAGCCCAAAGGGCATGGTCAAGAAATGAAATAACCCAAAAGGGGTTATAAAGGCTGTCTTTTCCCTGCTGCTTTCTTCCATTTCAACTTGCCAGTATCCAGATTTTAAGTCAAGGGTACTGAAATAATGGGCACCTTGCAACGACTCCAGTATATCATGGATGAGAGGCATCGGGTAGGCATCTTGGGGAGTTTTGGAATTAAGTCGGCGATAATCCACACAGAACCTTAGGCTGCCATCTGTCTTTGGGACCAATACTACTGTAGATGCCCAAGGGGATTGAGACTGCTCGATGATGCCTTCTTGCATCATCTTATCGATCTCCCTTTCCATCACCTCTTTCTTTAAAGGAGAAACTCTATAGGCTTTCGACCAAACTGGTATGTCATCCATTGTTACAAAGTCCAGTCCGAGGATCAGAGGAAATGCCAGGTGTTCATTTGACATTATATAGGTGTCAATGGTCCAGACCATTCCATGCCACTCATAAACCACAGGAGTTCTACCCTCTGATATGTGAGCCTTTCCATCTGCCACCATGAACGTCCTGTTCGAACTCTGCAGCAGTCTTTCTTCTGGTTTTTTTTACAGCCTCCCATAACTGTTTCTGCATTAAAGAGTAGGTTGAACCAGTGTCGACAATGGCTTTGACGTGGTAATTCCTCACATCTATGGCCACTTTCAGCAGAGGAGGTGTGGTTGTTTGAATCAATGAGACATGTTGAACTGATGTACTTGGTGATTTGGATTGTTGGTCACGTCGGAATGAGGCATTCTTTATTCCTTCATTAGTTACCTTGAGTTGGTTGACCCAGTAGTCCTTCTTTGAATTCAAGTCCCTCTCTACCAAAGATCCCACTTTAATTAGCTGCTCTACAGTATGCACTGCACCTCTGAGACTGCTCGCCAGGGAAGGGTTACAACTATTTAGAATTTGTCTTACTACCTCCTCTTCTGGCAAGTCGTCCCTCCATCTCAGACACAGAGCTCTATAATCATAGGCAAAGTCACGTATACTCTGGTTTGGTCCCTGAATCATGGTCTTCTAACTCAGTCAGGTAATCGGTAGAAAGAAAGGCAGACATGAAGGAGTGTTTGAACTCATCCCAGTTGCATATCTTTAACTTTTCAGCTGCCCACCAACTCCTCACAGGACCTGTTAGCACTGCATTGATTGTGGCAAGCAGTTCCACATCTGTGAGAGGTCTGAGCGACAGGAAGTTTTCACACTTTTCAATGAACTCCAAAACATCACAGGTTTCACGGTTTTGTCCGAAGGTAGGAAACTCTAGGTTGATAGGAGGTTTGGGTGCCGACAAAGAAGGAATTGCAGAGGGAAGATATCCTGGATCCGAAAAGCTATGGCTAAAAGGACGGGGCGATAATGGGGTACTGGTCGTCTTTACTCGTGACATTTCCTTTTTCCAGTGCTCATCACGCCGCTTAAGACAATTCACCATCTCTGTCTCTAAACGTGTCAAAGATCTATTCATTCCCCTTTCTAGTGCCTCGAAACGTTGATCAATGGCATCCCTGAAACAGGCCTCCCTGTTAACAATGCTGTCGTTGCTGGCCATGAAATCATTTTTGAGCATTTGCACCTCTGTCTGCAGAGCCTGGAGGATTAAAGAGAGTTTAGTTATTTGAGTTTCAAGTTGTTCAAACATTTCTCCCCTAGGTTTCAGCATTGGGGGATCATCCTCTTCACTTCCTCCAGCCTGGCTACCAATATACATATCACTCATCATGGAACTTAATTCTGTTACCGGCAATGGTTCGCTGTATGAAACACCAGGGGGAGGTTGATAAGGACGGGCCTCTGGACACTCATCCCCCTCACTTGCCACTGTCTGCTCACAAACCTTATCTGATGGGTTATCCATGATTTACAGACAGATACTTTTGCAAAAACATAAAAGGTACAATATCAATCTTTAAACAGTATCTCACAATAATTAGTTCCCCATATGGGCCACCATCTATATCAACCCCAACTTTAATTATCTCATTTGTCATTTAGTACTTAAGTCCTGTGTTCTCTCCGGTTTCTTTGTTTGCTATTTGTTGTTGTTATGTCGATGTGTGCTACCCCATACTCTTGGATTATTTCTGTGGATTTCTCATTAAAGACTTTATTTGAATTTCTCCCGCGTCGTGCGCTTTTAATAGCACCCTACCGTAACATTCACAAAGCGTTTATTGACTAATTGTTTACAAGAAGCATACATATAAGAGGCTGACAATAAGCTGAATATATAGCCTACTTGTTTAATTAGTGACACTTAGCGTGCATTTTAAAATCTTTATTTGAATGTGGCAATTAACATTTTTATTTTAAAACCTTTATTTGAATATGGCAACATAATATTGCGCTCTACAATATTTCTATGAATAAATCTCTGACAGAGACTATCAGCCAATCACTGTGTGTATAGTTAGTAAGTATGCTGAC